GGCCGCGCACCAGGCTGAAACAGAGGCCAGGGTTGGACTTGAGAAACAGGTCTGTAGTTGCATTTAAAGGGCTGGATTCCCTGTACAATGGAAAGAAGGAGACTGGCATTCCTAAGTAAGTGCTGGGGAAAATGATGTTAATGCCACTACAGGGATGCAGTTGGAAGCTCCTTTGGGACTTGGGGACTGGAACTCTGTCATTCTGCTTTCTGCACTGGCAAGTTCATTGCAAGCTGTTAAATGGGAACCTCCACAGGCTCCACCAGCAAGTATGCTGCCGAGGAGCATTGAAGGAAACCACCAGGGACCAGCAGCCTCAGCACTGCCAGGGAAAGTGACAGAAATGCCCATTCTCGGCCCAGCAGCTTACTGAATGAAGTCAGAAACCCTCCAGGTTCAGGCTTGAGAACCACTGCCCAAGAGCAGGCTGCCTCAGGCTGCACCCACTGGGGTTGGAATGAGGATCCTGTATTCTCTTCTCCTTCTCCATCTTCCCTATCCCCGCGGGATCACAGCCCCTCCTTCCAAGCACAAATATTGGCCACTCTTCTATAGAAATATCCCTTTGTCATTGAGTACTGTTTGTCATTGGCCTCATAGACGTCTGCCAAATTCTGAGGACATTCCTGAATATAAACCTAAGGAAAAGAAAATTCCACCTGGGGTGCAAGAACCCCAACTTCATCTTGGGGGGCATTGACATTGCAATGAGGTCCTGTTGAATGACCCCAGCAAGCAACCCCACTGCTGCCTGGCACCAAACTCGACGGTGGTGAAATGAATACAACTTATCCTTTCGCGTTGCCAGTCTGAGGATGGTAAAGCATCACTTGGGTGGGAGCCCTCTGGGGCCATGACAATAGTGGATAGTGCACTGCTGGCATCCACAGAGGGCAGGAAATCCTGCAGCCCTGCTAGTGCATCCCTTAATCAGACAATATCACACCAGATCAGGTAAAAAAGATAATGCCTCTAGAAGGGGTACTATCAAAGCCACCCAAAATGCCACTGTGTTCAAGTACACATAACCCACAGTATCAGGTCATTCCAGCTCCCTGTTCTTGGTGTGCACACAGGAGGAATCCGGGAGGGATCTGTGAGCATGAGGAGCAGACTTCTGTTCTTGCCAGCATTAGGATCATGCCTGCCAAGCTTTCGAATTGATACTGAAATTTACTAACATGGAAAGCCCTCATACCAGTACGAGGCAAGGTGCCAGATGCTAACTAAATCCATTCCACCTTAAACAGCATTTTAAGGAATCAGATGCTTAGGGCCTCTTACCTAATTACTGTTTTTATAACCATGAAGTTTCTCTAAGCATTTATAATGTAAGGATCTCTGGGCTCATTCTCATACTGCTGCTTTTTTAAATATATAAAGGATACTTTTTTTGATCTTAGAAAATTAGAAGAAGAAATTTATTCAAATAATTTTCAAAAAGAAAAAGTCTGAGGGAGAAGGGCTGCTTTGGGACAGGCACAGAAGGGGATGAGGATGGAGACTTCAGGCTCCATGTCCCTGCATGAAGCAACCATGGAGGACCAGGGGGTTGGGACAGCTCAGTTCCTCTGAGCCCTGTACCTACTCCCTTGTTTCCTGGGTAGACACCTCACCTCCCAGCCCATTTTTAATTCTGTAAACTGGAGACAGGCCCCACCACAGGTATGTGAATATTACACAAGATACCAAAAGGGGAAGGTACAAAATTAGGTCACTCTGATAATTACTATTAATCATGGTAACTAATATTCCCTGACACTTCACACTTTCCATGAATTTTTTACACCTTCCCTCCTTTGATCAGAACAGAGGTAAAGATGACACACAGGTCCTCCCCAGCACAGGGCATGTGGCAGCTCAGCACATGGTCTCACTTACTTGTCAGCACACCTGCTCCAGGAGTCAACAGCTGGGCCTGATAAACTCTGCTGACATCTGCAGAACCCTACAGATGCCAGGCTTTCAGGAAGGGAATCCCGGATACAATGACAATGTCCCAGAAAGAGTCAGACTGGACACTAATGAGCACCTGTCATTTACACCCTGTGGGCTCGATCTTCACTGTTCAATATGGTAGCCACGACCCACACTCAGCTTTTTAAATTTAAATATGAATTAACTAAAATTAAACTAAAATCAGTGCGCCGGTCTCACTAACTGCATTTCAAGTGCTTAATAGCTACGTGGGTCTGGTGGCTGGTGTATGAACAGCATCAGAATAGAAACGCCTGTCTCCACAGGTGACTGGACAGCACTGGTCCCGCTGCACCTTAACCCCCAGGTGTTCCTCTCTGTCGGGTTCCAGGGGTTATGAAGGAGACATCCACACCCAGGAGGGTCCATTCCTCTATAACCCTTTTCTGCTTGGCCTGGCATGTGGAAATGAGAAGCAAGCCTGCCCCGCATGGGTGGGTCCTGCGGGGCGGGGAGCCTATCACCTACACTACCTGTGAGTTCCCTCAGTGTCCACAGAGCAGGTGCCACCATCCCCTTCATAGTTTAGGAAAGAGACGTGGCTGAACATGGAGGGCTGGCCGATGCCGCTCTGAGCATGGCTCCATCCCCTACCCTGGGCCTTGTTAAATTCTTAAGTGAAGCTCTCCTCCACGATGATCACTTCTGACCCCAGTAGGCACACAGGAGACTGTGAGTTGACACGCTGTAGCCGAGGGGCATGTGGCTTCTTGAGAACAGAGGCGCATCTTGTGAGTGTTTCCAGGAGCTGCTGGTGCACGTCTGGGAAGCTGGAGAGGCTCAGGCTGCCTGGCTTCTGAGTACGCAGCGCCTGTGCTCCCTGGTTGGCTGTTGAAGTCTGGATAAGATACTTTCTACTGCCGTAGTTTAATTTCCCCAGTGATGCCAGGCATCCATTTATTCCGGATTTCCCATAATGGATCCATAATGTGTAAATGAGTTATTTGAGGTTCTGAGAAAAGCTGTGTTGTAAAGATTACCCAAGTCACCATGGAAGTCACGCTGCCCTGACCGAAGAGGCTAATGGAAGCCAGGTAAGAGGCAGAAAGCACAAAACAGGAGTGTTCTTTTTTTTTTTTTTTTTTTAATTTTCCCTTAAGTCCAATGCCTCCTTCCAAAGTTTGCAGTGTAAGCTGCGGCTCTGCCCAGAGGTGCAGCACCCGGGTAGACCCCAGCTCTGCCCAACATTACCAAGTGAGGCATTGAGGCTCGGAGGCCTCCTAGAGGCCACCAGGGCAGCTGTGGGGTCGTGGAGTTGCTCACCTGGCCTTGGGTATGATATTTAATCCTCTGAACCTGAGTTTTCTTATGTATGAAGTGAGGACAAAATCCTACTCAAGGTTTTGGGACAGAATGAAGGAGATACAGGCACAGTCCTGCCGCACCAAAACGCTCAAGCAGATCTGTCATCTCTTTACCAGTGAGCAGGAGAGACCCGCAGAGCAGGGGGCTGCATGTGCATTTGTGCCTGCCCCTTCCCCAGTGCCGCCGCCTCCGCACCCACGTGTCCATGGACTCACTCCACAGTGTCCCTACGTCGTACCTGCTTTGATCCAGAATCTGATCCCAGCTAACCCCAATCCAGGGCTGTTTCACGGCCTCTGCTGCCGGGGTCCCCACCCGGCGCTGCCCAGGCTCACTGCTGCCCTCTCCAGCCTCTGCTCCACTGTCCCTGAGTCAGCTGGGTTCTCTCAGAGTCGCTTGTGTGGAGACTTAGATAGAAAGGGAGGCCCTGAGAGTCAGGAGCGGACCTCCACCCTGAACCAGGCAGCACAGGCCAAGGACCTGCACTGGAGATGGGACCAGCAAATCTCCCTTTCAGAGCTGTGCCCTCGAGTTCTGTTCCAGTTGCCCCCTTCTCCCCACCAGCTGCTCCAGGCTGGGCTCCCACACTGCAATGGGCAAAGGCAACATCTTTGCCCTATGCAAACAGCAGGACCTGGTTTACATATATCAATAAAACAAACCATTAAATAAAATGTATCCTGTCTTCCTGCCTTAGCAAATACCCCCTCAATCGTTCTAGAATTCATAGAATCCTAGAAATCATCTTGCTGGAATGTGGCTTTGCAAGGAGCGCCAGCTCCAAACCAGGGCTGACCCCCTTTTCTTCTGTTCTAAATAACCTTTCCCTTTTGTTCTTTATAACTCTTTCCTGCTTTGCCTGGTGGTGTGGAAAATGAGAAGCAAGCAGTACCCTGACCACATGTCCAAGCTCCATTCATACCCCTTGGCAAGCCTCCACTTTAGGAGTGTCACAGTGTGCTCTGCTCCCAGGAGGTCTGGTCTGGGTAGACCCCAGAGGTAGGCTCAGGAAGTTGAGACAGTTCTCTCCAGGCCACCAGACACTCTCCTAAATTGCTTTTCACTGAGCCTCCTCTTCCAACCCTTAGCTATTTGTTATTGAGGGGTTCTGTCATGCACCTAAATGATATGGCCTTGTTGCTACTTCTTGATTCTCCCTTCTGGGCCTGTAGGCTTCCCACCACAGTGGACAAGAGTCTTGCTCTTTCTGTCACCTCTCCCACCCCTCACATACTCCCCACATGGTTATATCACAAACTGGGGTAGAGGAATATTCAGTGTCTACATGATTGTGATTGTATAAAGATCATTCACAGGTGAGCCATGTAATATGCACAATTATCTTGGTATTTTAGGGGAAACATTTAAAAAATTTTGTTTTCCATAGAGTTAAAAATTACCTTGGCATTTTATATGCTTAGATTCCTATGAAATCACAACTAATGTATACTCTGAGTTCACTCACATTGTTCAAAGCAGGACTTAACAAACAATGCCCTGCAGGTCAAATCTAGCTTGTTTACCATTTTTGTAAATAAGGTTTTACTGGAACACAGCCACACCCATTTGTTTCTATATTATCTATGGCTGCGGCTTTCACTCCATATTGTAATGACAGAGTTCAATGGTTGTAACAGAGACTATGTGGCCTGCAGTCCAAAATGTTCACTATCTGGTCCTTTAAGAAAAATTTGCCAACTCTGGTATAAATCACTTACCTGTAACAAGTATTCCACCAATTGCATTTTCTTAACATCTCTCCAGGGTTTCTGTATGCTGTTTCATTTAAGACTGCTCATCCTCTGGAAGTGGAGTGCAGCTGTCACTGTCATTTTGTCATGCTGGGGATCCACTTCAACTCTCTCTCAAGTTAATACCGCCTTTTCTGGATCTCTCGTCTTCCTGTTTCCTAGTATAGCCCCTTGTTTTGGTGGAGCACATCCTCCAGCAGCTTTCTCTGAAAGGACAGGTGAAAGATAATTTTTCAAGATCTGCATGCTATAAAGTATTTACTCTTGTGTTTATTGACAGTTTGGTTAGGGAAAGGATTATTGGTTAGAAATACCTTTCCCTCAGAATTTTGAAGACATTGTTTCATTATTTTCTACCATCCAAATATTGTTAAATATAAACCTAAAGCCACCCTGATTCCTGTTTTGTTGCACTCCTCTCCACATTTTTGGTCTTTCTTTCTAACTCTCTTGGGAATAATTTAGCTGCTTCTGTCAGTTCTGATTTCAGAACTCTTTGTTTACTCACCTCTTTTTCATCTTTTTTTTTTCTGCCACCCAGATAATTTTTTTTTCTCTTCCAACTTCCATGAGGTGTTCCAGTGTGCTACCATGTTTTTATTTTTTCCATGGGCTTATATGTGCTCTTTACTCTTTGTATGGTTCCTATTTCCTTCAGAAAACTTTGTTGACTTCTCCTATTAGATGCTGAATTGAACATTTCCCATCTGCTACCTCATATCCTCTTTGCCCACCCTTCCTCCAGCCATTTGCTGGTGTTGACCTAAAGAAAGAAGTTGAGGCACAAAATACAACTTTAAGTAGTTTACTTGAGCCAAGATGCTCACAGCTGCCTGGAATACTGAGACCCAAGTCATCCTAGATATGTGCTCCATTTGGTCTTTGTTACAAGCAGGTTTTTAAAGGCAAAGGGGTACAAGGAGTGGGAAGATACAAAGTTGTTTTTTGGGAGTTCTCAATGGTTTACAGAAATCACATTAATTAGTGATTGACTAAACATTGTTATTTGTATCATGAATTCCAGGAATGTGAAGATAATGGGTGAGGTCACATTGTGAAACTTGCAGTAACATTTTAGGTCATTTATCAGCTAGTCTAGAAACTACAGGGAAGAAAAGAAAGAACTAAATGCCTTTAAATAATTGCCCCCCGCCATGGGTGCAGGGGTGACTGAAGTTTCCTATTCTCTGGTCCTGATAGATTTTGCATAACTCACATTCCTCAGACTGCCCCGAGCTATTTTTCTTTCTCACTGCATTGATTAACTTTGCAAAGGGTGGCTAGAAGAGCCCACTTCCCTGAACCCTGCATCTCTTGCTCTCCACATCAGGGTCAGGGGAGCCACATAAGTGTGGCTGACATGAGGGTCAGATGACACCACATAAGGGTCATCTGTGGAACTCACCTGGCATGCACACGTATGCTACCTGATAGTGCATGGACATGGCACCACAGGGGCATTCTTGACGATTTGGGGTGTAGGGTGGTGGGGACATGACATAGTTTGGATATGTCTCCACCCAAATGTCATGTTGAAATATAACCCCCAATGCTGGAGGTGAGGCCTAGTGGGAGGTGACTGGATCATGGGGGTGGATTTCTCATGAATGGTTAAGCACCATCTCCTCGGTGCTGTTCTGGTGATAGTGAGTGAGTTCTTGTGAGATTTGGTTATTTAAAAGTGTGTGGCACCTCCCCCTTGTTTTCTTGCTCCTCCTTTCTCCATGTGATGAGCCTGCTTCCTGTTTGCCTTCCACCGTGATTGTAAGTTTCCTGAAGCCTCCCCAGAAGACAAGTAGACATTGAATACACCGCACTTCCTGTACAGCCTGCAGAAACATGAGCCAATTAAACTTCTCTTCTTTATAAATTACCCAGTATCAGGTATTTTTTATAGGAATGCAAGAATGGCATAACACAGGATGTCAGCTTTAAATAATGAGATTCAGAGAATGTGATTAAGGATTGTAAACCAAAAATAAAATCTTAAGCCACCCACCCAACCTGTTGGAGACTTTTAAGCCAGACTGACTCCATCTTGAATAAGGGCTAGGTACAGTGAGGATGAGACCTGCTGCACTGCATTCCCAGAAGATTAGGCGTTCTTAGTCACAGGATCGAATAGAAGGTTGGCACAAGATACAGGTCACAAAGACCCTGCTGATAAAACAGGTTGTGGTAAAGAAGCTGGCCCAAACCCATCCAAATCAAGATGGCAACGAAAGTGGCCTCTGGTCCTCCTCACTGCTCATTATATGCTAATTATAATGCCTTAGAATGCTAAGAGACACTCCCACCAGTGCCAGGACAGTTTATAAATGCCATGACAATGTCCAGAAACTACCCTATATGGTCTAAAAAGGGGAGGGAACCTCAGTTCCAGGAAATCTCTGCCTCTTTCGCAGAAAACTTATGAATAAACCACCCCTGTTTAGCATATGATCAAGAAATAACTCTAAGTATGTTCAGTAGAGCAGCCCATGCCCTACACTGCCTATGGAGTAGCCCTTCTTTTATTCCTTTACTTTATTAATAAACTTGATTTCACTTTACTCTTTGGACTCACCCCAAATTCTTTCTTGCACAAGGCCAGAAACTCTCTTTTGGAGTCTGGATCGGGACCCCTTTCTGGTAAGAAACTGACTGAATAGATTCCCCCGTCTTGACCACAGGAGCCTTAGAGATTGTGAAAAGCTGAATTCCAGACCATGATGGAAAGGGACATGAGACACACCTCATTATACCCATCCCTTTAGAGATTTAGGGACAAGGGACCAGCATTAACATTAAAATAGAGACCATAAGACTCACAGAACAAACCCTTTGTGGCAAAAAGGGACCAAATTCCAACCTGACTCTGGTATCGCATCACAAGTCAGAAGCAGACCCTGAAGGAAATAAAAATATTTTATCCCAAAATGTATGTCTTTGACATATTTTGAAATGGTCCTGCAAAGCTGTCTTTTGTGGGAGAAATTTGCATCTGCAGTGAATCTCCATCAGTATAATCTGGCATTTCCTAGATCTAGGAGGGAGTAACAAAAAGTCTGATACCTTTTAAGATCTGGAAGGAGACATTTATCATCCATTCCTTCTGAAGACTGTTACCTGGAGGCTTCACCTACATAATAATATATAAGAATCTTGGTCTCTGCAACTCCCCTTTATCTTAACTCAAGCACTTCTTTCAGATGATTTCAAGTCTTTAGACAAAGCTTAACTCTTCAAACCAATTGTCAATCAGAAGATCTTTGACTGTACTTATGACCTGTAAACCCACCTTCTCCAAGATATCCCACCCCTTTAGATGGAATCGATATACACCTTCATGATTTTGCCTACAATTCCTATCTCCCTAAAATGTGTAAAACCAAACTGTAACCCAGCTGCCTCAGGAACACTTTCTCAAGATCTGTTAAGACTGTTTCCCAAGCCATGGTCACTCATACTGGCTCAGAATAAACCTCTTTAAATATCTTACAGAGGTTTTTTTGTTTTTGTTTTGTTTGTTTTTTTGTTTTTTTGTTTTTTGTTTTTTTTTTTTGGCTTTTTTCTTCATTCCATCAAGAGTATAGAGTTTACATGAGCACAAAGCTTGAGGGTGATCACCCAGGAAAGCACTGACTCCAAATGAAAGGGGGTCAACATTTCCAGAGTGGGAAAGTTATGGTTTCACTTACATAGGCAGAGACAGAAAAGTTCCAACAGAATCACAACAGTTTCCTTACAAGAACAGGTGCAGATGCCACAGCTATTTGGTTGGTTACAGATTAGTTCATTGTTCCATGAGGAGGGGTGGTGATCTGAGGGGGTCTTTTCTCTGGTGTACTTTGGTCTTAATCATTTATAGAAAAAAGGCAGAAGTCACAGTTGCATGCACATGACTCAAGTTGCATAGCCATGTTCCTTCAAGCTCAGGATAAGTTAAAGTTCAAACTTTCATATATTTGAATTACTTTGAGTTTGAATTTTTGAATTTAACCAAGAGGACTCCTTTCTTCTATATGTTGTGTGGAAACTTTTGAGGGGCATTCCACATCACCTCCCAGAGGAAGCCCAGCAAGAGTGAGCCCCAGTTGCCCACAGTGGTGACCTGCTCAAGCCACAAGCTTGAATTGTCTTTATTCCTTTGCCCACTTTGCTTCTCCCAGTTTTTACTCCTATTCTCTAGGGTAATGTTCCCTGAATAAATTCTCCTCCACCAAACTCTTCTCAGCATCTGCTTTCCTGCCTGGAACTCAAAAAATGGTTGCTGTATGATGCCTGGTTACCCCAGGGTATCTGCATTTTTTAAGCAAAATTGCTATGTAAATACTAAGAGTTCTATATTAAACCAAGTTTTTGGGAGGACAACAAGTGGTGGGATGTAGAGTTAGAAGTAGTCTGGCCAGGCCTCAGCCCATTGTCCCCAAGGAAGACAAAGGCAAGCCCAAGTTCATTACTACATTGGTGCCAGTTACTGTCACAGAGGGAAGTGTCTCCTCATGAGCACGTGTGTTAAAATGGAGACAGCTGCAGCAGTGGTGATGTTGAATTCCATTCCTTTTTTGTTATCGACTTCAGGCCCTAATAAAACCCATTTGAACAGAATGAGTAGAGAACAGAATTAAATGGAGAAGGATAAGCCAGCTTCAAACTGAACATTGTTAGTTCTTTCATGTTTTGCAAATTACATCTAGGTTCTAAAACATCTGTGGAAATGATAATCAGTAATTTTCATTTAAATAGAGGAAGAAAAACCCTCAAATGACAAAACAAAGTGGATCAGACTGTTTTCTCAATTATGTCATGCTAACTTTAAACACAGATTAAAGGGGGAAATATCTTCAACATGAAGCTAATATTTCAAACTGCATCTTTAATACCATCTTGTAAAGATATCTCTCTTCAGTGGGTATCAGTTTGAACTGTAAAATAGACGTCTTTGTTCCTCAACTGTTAGTGTGGTTATTTTATCCCCTGCAAGAATGTTTGGATTGCACTTGGTTACAAGTGACATAAAACCTGAGACAATGACCTGAACAATAACAACACAAAAGTTGTTTCTCTTCACCTGAGAAGTCCGAGGTAGGCAGCTGTTGCCATTGGTTCAGTGGCTTGGCAACATGAAAGCAGGTGGTATTCATACTCTCTTGACCCTTCCTTCACATTTGCAAAATGGCGGCTACAGCTCTAGTCATCACAACCATATTCAAGATAAAAGAAA